TATATATATATATATATATATTTATATATATATATATAAATATATATATATGTGCATATTTATGTACTGATACATAGATATATATATATATTTATTTATTTATTTATGATAGCACATCTTACTTCGAGTTGTTTGCAAACGAATTCGTTGTGCACAATTTGATGGTTGACGTACACCGGAGGCCCGTAGATTTCGAGAGCTTTTTCTACTGTACCGACAGCTCTGCTAACACCTTCACAAAACCCTCGAGGAGCAGCAATAAGCGCTACAGGGCCTGGTGCTGCTGGTTCTGCTGCTGCTGCTGCTGCGTCTGCTGCTGCTACAGCAGCAGCAGCACCCAGCTCCGCCTCAGCAAATACCGCGGCTGCAAGGGGAGCAGCACCGAAACGCTTTGCTGCTGCTGCTGATTCTTCTGCTGCTGCTTCTGCTGGGGCTGCTGATGCTGCTGGTCCTGCTGCTTCTTGTACTGGTTGCGTTTCTGCTGCATGCATGCGCGTGCTGCTCTCTAATATGAATGCCGGCCGCTGCTGCTGCTGCGCATGCAAAGGGCTAAAGAAGAGAGGAGAGAACTTAAACCCTTTATTTGGGTGTACATTGTTTAAAGAGAAATGAGAAGAAGAATGCAGAGAGAAAGCTTCACTAGAAGAAGGAAGAAGGCAAAACAAAAAAAGAAAGAAAAAAAGAAGTGAAGAGGGAGACAGAAGCCGCAGTTCAGGAGAATTGAAGGCCTCCGGCTTCATGACGCTGTCTTTTTTCTCGTTGTTCTCTTCTTTTATTGTTTCTTTATTCAATATACATTGAGGGATCTGAAAGAAGAACAGCAGCAACATCCACTAGAAAGAAAGAGGGGAAGAGAAGGAGAAAAAGAACATCGATTGTTGTTTCTTATCTTGCTGGCTTCACTCCAATGCTCCGTGTTGTCTTTTTCTGTATTTTCGTTTTGCTTTCTGCATATACACCTCGCGTTTTCATGTTGTATGAATACCGAGAAAAGGCTGAGGTGTATGGATGTCTACAGTGTTAGGGGAGCGTTGCTGCCGACCCTTGTGTTATAGTTGACAAAGAAATAAATAATGAAAACAATTAATAAATCAAAATTTAACGAAGAGAATCCTCAGCGTCTTAGCCGCATCCAGCGTCAGCAACCGCCAGCCTCTCCGCGAGCTGCAAGAAGGAAGAACAGAAAGAAGAAGGAAATGCAAATCTTTTGTCTGTTTAATGATATATAATGAAGAAATAAAAAACAATTTACTTTTAAATATTCATCTTGAAAATATTAATATAAAAGTTCACTATACCTTCGCCAGATCGAAGACGAAATGTTTGCCTTCTCTGCATGCAGACAATCTGCACGATGCGGCAGGAGAAAAGAAAGTATAAATGCACGAAATATAGTGAAGTCTACGAAATGACAGCTGAAAAACATATAAAAAGAAAAGCTAAAGAAGAATGGGATTCAAATTTTCCTCTCTAACGGCGTTTCTTTTCAGGTGTATGCGCAGACACCTCGCTACGCGAGCTGCTCCACAAACTTCCCTCAGTGAATTTTCATAATTATTATTTTAATTTGAATCATTGTTGCTGTTTCTTAATGAAAAAAGATAAACAATTGAACTTCCACCGTGGAAATTCCCTCCTTTTCCTTTTTTCTTCTGCTTTCCTATCCGTTCTGCATCGATTACCCCAGTGCACAAGACGGAGGAAACCCTCTTCAGTTGATCTCTATTCAAATTAAGAAACAAACAGCCTGATGATAAAAAGAACTATATTTACACACCAACCAGATAAACTACACCCTAAGCCAAACTCAGCAAAACAAACAAATCGAAATTCACTCAAAACTCCATCTAGACAAATGCCGCCGTCTTTGCTCTGTAGCTACAGCTACTTCTAGCTAGATGCAGCGAGCTACAGATGGCTGTAACTAGCTGCAGCTGGCTAGAGATGGGAGTAGCTAGCTACCTGTAGCTAGCTGCAGCCAGCAAGAGCTGGCTGCGGCTAGCTGTCTGTAGCTAGCTGCCGGGGCTTATGGGTGGGTGCTGCACCTGAGTGAAGTAAGTACTAAATGTCTTTCTGCTTGCTTGCGGAGGTTCACCGTGAAAGCCCAAAGAAAAGCAAAGTTGCTGTCTTCAGTTTTATTGCATGCATCGAGTGAGGCTTTACGAACAGATGGAGAGCGTATTCTTGTTATTGCAGAAGCTCCATATTGTCTTTAAAAGAATATTCTTTGTGTGGGCTGGCGCTGATCCTTTGAAGCAATTTGTTTGCTTTTAATTGTAACATAAAAAACAAACAAATAAAACAAACAAAACGCCGCCTCTCTTATTCACTAAGACTGAACCTGAGGTGTATGTACACCCCAACATACAGCAGCTGCTGCCCACTGCATACAATTGTATTAAATGAGACTAAATATATATATGTATATATATATACGTATATATAATGTAAATAATATGTATATTGTTTATTGAATGAGGGCGTGAACTAAAGGTGAATTACGAAGTTATTTAAATACAACAAAGAAATAAAAATATATAAAAACAATTCGGTCTAAACATTTTAATTGCAATATTCACATATAAAGATAAACAAGAGAAACAAAATCTTCAAAAAAAAGAATATTTGTATTAGAAACACCATATTATATATATAATATATGCAAATATATATATATATATGTATGTATATATATTATATATACATATATATCATGTGTTTCTTTATTAAACTAAAGGCAAATATGCGACAACGGCGTTATCAATAAACTGGCGCATTTCAAGAAGAGGAGGCGGGAAGAAATTCATCATTTCTTTATCTGTTGCTGCTGCCCTCTGCAACAAACGCGAAATAATTGCAAACAAATGCAGCCCCACACGAGCCAGATGCATGCGGCTGCTGCCACTGCATGCAAATGCAGAGAAACTCTTCAAAGGGCTTCCTCCTCCTCCCCCTATTCGCTGTCCAGACACCCGACGCAGCAGCACCTGCAGCAAAACAAACCTCGAAAATGTGCATGCATGCACAGCTCCATGCATGCATGCATGCATGCATGCATGCATGCATGCATGCATGCAGCCAGAAGCACTAGTGGATAGAGCTGATTTGTTGTTTCCTTTAAATGAATCGGGGGAAAGTAATTTTTGAAGAAGGGCAGTGTATTGTTGTTTAATTGAATTTAAATATTCAGGTGTATGCCCACCTTCATGGCTAGACAACCCTTTTTATTTTTGTCTTTTGTTCCGCTTTTCACAACAAAACATTCTCTTAAAAGAATGCGCAGCTCCATTGCAGATTCTCCTTCAGGTATACTGACCCAGGGTCTCGCTTGAGCAATTCCTGCTGCTGTTGCTCTTGCTGCTGTTGCTGCTGCTGCTGCTGGCTCTGCTCCTCCCGCTCCTGCTGCTGCTCCTGCTGCTGTTGCTGCTGCTGCTGCTGTAAGTCGAAGGTGGTTGTCTTTGCTGCTGCGTACAGCAGCAGGATCAGCAGCAGCAGCAGCAGCAGCAGCAGCAGTTGGAGGTGCTTGTGCCCCCACTTCCCAGGGGCATTCTGCTGCAGCAGGAACTGCAACAGGTAGCAGCATAAAGCGTAAGACGTCTGTTTCTCTGCTGAATGCGCTTAAATCACGTATAAAATAAGACAAATCGGAGTGTAGCTGCAGCAGATCCCCCTCCCATTTGCTACCCACTAATGCATGCAGCTGCATGCGCCGCTTCAGCAGCCACACCTCGCCGCATGCAGCAGCACCAGCAGCACCAGCACCAGCAGCAGAAGATGCGTCAGTCTTCAAGTTGCTTCCTGAGGCTTGTGCCTCGCTCTCCTTTGACTTCTCTCTACCGCTGCTGTCTACACAACTGCTGCATGCAGCCACAGTTGAACAGGAAGAACCTGTACAGTGAGCAGCAGCAGCAGCAGAAGGCAGCTGTCTTTCTGTCCCTAAGACGAAGCCGCAGCTGCTGCAGCTAACTGCAGCGCAGCACATAAACAAATGCAGCAAATAAAAAGCTATTTGCATCCCTGACAGAAGAAAAGATAAGACAAACAGACGAATAAGACATAAAAACACAAAGGTGAACACAAACACAAGCAGACAGCCAGGCAGACAAACAGAGAGACAGAGAGAAGAAGATAAAAGAGAGAGTAGTAAAGAGAGACAAACAGATAAAGACAGCAGCAAAGACACAGAGGGAGAAGAAGAAGAAACAGAGCGACAAAAATAAACAAAGAGAACGGCATCGATAGAGATAAATACACAAAAAGAAAATAACTAAACAAAATTAAAAAAAAGAAAGACAGACAAGAAAGAAGACCATAGAAACAAAAGACAAAGACAAACACCCGCAAACAATCACTCCACAGACATACATATAAACAAATATAAATATATACAATATATATATGCGTATATATATATATATATAGATATATATATATGTATATATATACACATATATATATACTTAATACCCTCTCCTAAACTCACTTGCTGCTCGCGTGCCTCCGCCTTGGTCTGCAGAGGCGACAGCGGGGCCTCTGAAAATATTTTTAACATCAAAAGAAGAAAATTGAAGTTTGTCGCTGTCTACAAACCCTCTGTATGCGCAGCAGCAATTAAGCAGGAAGCTCTTCTCAACCCCTCTGAACGCGCCGCTTCTTTATGTCTCTCTTTTATTAATATTTTTCTCTTTCTCTCTTCTCTTTTCTCTTCGTGTCAATACACTCTGCCTCTCTTCTTCTAATTACTTTTATCGCCTGTTCAATGCACTCGCTTCGTTGCTAGCTAGCTAGCTAGCTACCTAGCTAGCTACAACTGCGTTGCTAGGTAGCTGGGTCGTCAGTTACCGGTAAGTTTCTAGCTAGCTAGTTAGCTAAGGTGCTGCTGCTAGCTGTTATTATGTTCTAGCTAGCTATACTAATAGTATTTGTTTGTCTCTATATAAATGAGGAGAAAGAGGGGCTGTAGGGTTTTATCTCTCAAGCATTTTTGTTATTTATTTTTTTAATTTCTGTTGATTTAATTAATTTGCATTTATTTGTCTGTTACCTTCCGGGAGAAGGCTGCGAAAAAGAAGAGTGAGTCGGTATTGAGAGACACTCTTCGCAAGCCTGCAGAACAAAGACAAAAAAACTTTATTTCTTTTACTTTACTTCTTTTCTTGTCCTTATTTATTGTCTTATTATAGTCACTAATAAACAAATACAAACAGACAGAAGTAGAAGGAGCATTAAAAGAGATAGACAGACAGAGAGACAGAGAGAGACGGAGAGAGAGAGAAAGCATAAACAAAGAGAGACATAGCAGGAGCGGCAACAGCAGCAGCAGCAGCAGCAACAGCAACAGCAGCAGCAGCAGCACAAAATGAGACAAACAGAATGACAGGATAAGACACAGAGAAACAAACAAAGGAGACAAACACAGGAGGAAAGAAGGGACAAAGAAAGAGAGAAGAGACAGCACCGAATAAAGTAAAAAAATAAAAAACAAAAACAAACAAAAGCAAACAAAGAAAAAAAACAAAGAAAAGACGAAACATAAAACAACAGAGAAAAAACAAACAACAGAAATACAAACAGTGAGCGACTAACAGAAGACACGAAAAAGAAATCAAAGACAAAGCAAAGAAGAGACAAAGCAGAAGAGACAGAAGAAGAGACAGACAAGAGACAAAGCAGAAGAGACAGAAGAGAGACGCATAACACAAACACAAAAACAAAAACAAAAAAGAAAGAAGCGGCGCAGCAATCAGACACGAGCAGAAAGAGACAGACGAAAGAGACAACAAACAAACAGCAATATACATATATGTAGATATATAGATATATAGATATATAGATATAGATATAGATATAGATATAGATATAGATATAGATATAGATATAGATATAGATGTAGATATAGATATAGATATAGATATATAGATATAGATATATAGATATAGATATATAGATATATAGATATGTAGATATATAGATATATACATGTATAGATCTATCTATTTTCAATTACATACAAATAAATAATTTGCCTCTACCCAGAGAGCAGAAGGTAATAACTGCAAAGAAGCATCATTCAGCTGTACAATCGTTTGGCTGCATCTCCTGTACATACACCCCAAACAAAAACAGAAAAAAAACAAATTGAATAAAAAACAAATTAAGATATATTCTAACGTACAACAGAAATTAAAACAAGAAAAAAAGATATACACACTGACAGAAAGACAAACAAACAAACAAACAAACAAATAAACAAACAAACAAATAAACAAACAAACAAATAAACAAACAAATAAATACACAAACAAGAAGATAACAAGATTAAAACTTTTACACTAAAATGCAGGTAATTCGTCTTCCTTCTTTTGTTTGTCTCGTTACTCTATTCTTTTGTTTGTTTGTTTGTTTGTTTGTTTGTTAAGCAAACAAACAAAACAAACAAAACAAACATAAAAAGGCAAACAAGTGGATAAACAAACAAACATAAAACAAACAAACAAACATTTGAAAGAAAACTCGTAAAAAACAAACAAAACAAACGTGAAGCAGACAAACATAAGACAGCAAACAAGTAAATAGACAAACAAAACGAACAAACAAGCACAAGAAAGCAAGCAAGGAAACAAACAAACAAAACAAGAAAGAAAAGAAGCAACACAAACAGAGCAACAAAACAAACAAACAAACAAAAGTTAAAAAAATAAATTACTTGCAGCTCAATTTAAAATTTTTTATCTGACGGATTATTTTTTCTTCTTTGCTAGCCAAAGCTGACGCCAACTGCGCCGGCCTTAACGAGCACTTCATTGTTAATCTGAAAAAATAATAACTCTTTAATAACTCTTCTTCTCCTCGCGCTGCTGCTGCTGCTGCTCCTGCTCCTGCTTCTGTTGCTGCTGCTGCTACTGTTGCTGCTGCTGCTGCTGCTGTCGTTGTCGATGATGATGCTCCTGCTGCTGTTCCTGTTGCTGGTCCTGCTGCTCCAATTGCTGCTGGTGTTGCTCCTGCTGCTGCTGCTGTTACTGCTGCTGCTGCTGTTGCTGCTGCTGCTGCTGTTGCTGCTGCTGCTGCTGCTGGGCGCGCTGATGGACGGTGTGCTGGGCCGCAGGTAGCAGAGAGAAGATGAAGAGGAGGAAGACTGCAAGGAAATCTAAAATACAAATTAAACAAAAAATTAAATGTTGATGGTTGGCTTATTGCTGCTTCGCCTTTACTTTCTGCTCCTCCTTCCTCTTGAGCACACAGCCGCTGCTGCTGCTGCTGCTGCTGCTGCTGCAGTTGCTGTTGGAGCTGCTGCTGCTGCTGCACGCGCCAGAGAGACAGCCTCAATAGATGATCGCCGTCGGTGTGTTGCTGCTGCTGTAGACGGTACGCCAGCTCTTGCTTCTGTGCAGCAGCAGCAGCAGCAGCCGGAGTGTCCTGTCCTGCAGCAGCAGCAGCAGCAGCAGGAGCAGCAGCTGAAGCAGCAGCAGGAGAGCGTGCGCAGCGTGTTGTTGTGTCGTGTTTCTCTCCTCTTGCTGCAGCATTCAAATTGCTGGTGTTGAGTTCGCTGCTGCTCTTCAGCTCTAAGCTTTCAAAGGCCTCCGTCAGCTGCCCGACGTCTGCTGCTGCAGGTGCTGCAGCAGCAGCAGCAGCAGCAGGCGGCAAGAAGACAGTAATCGTCAAATGGCCTCCAACAGCTGTTAACTCAAGCGTACCAGCTGCTGCTGCTGCTGCACCAGTCGCTGTTGCTGCAGGGATTGCCGCTGCAGCAGGGGTTGATGCTGCTGCTGCTGTAGGGATTGCTGCTGCTGTCGCTGCTGTAGGGATTGCTGCTGCTGCAGGGATCGCTGCTGCTGTTGCTTCTGCAGGGATTGCTGCTGCTGCTGCTGATGTAGGGGCTGCTGCTGCGGCTGCTGCGGCTGCTGCGGCTGCTGCTGCTGCTGCTGCTGGCGTTGCTGCTGCTGCAATGGAAGGAACAGATTTGGAAGTCATTTTCGACAGCGCAGGAGACAGCAGAACAGCAACGATCAGTGATCAGCGAGAAGTGAAGAGGAAAGAAAACGAAAAAAAGAAAATAAATGAATAAAAAGCTACGAATAAGAAGATGAAACAAAAAAGAAGCTCTAAACAATGAATTGGAGGGAGCGCTGCGTCTGCAAGCAGGAGGAACAAACAGAGGTCTTAGGGTGTTAAGAGAAGAAGACGACCGAAAAAACAAAGAAACAAAAGAAAAGAAATTAGCAAAGAAAGTATATATGATTTGATGCTGATCTGGCCAATACCAATTTCATGTACACCTGGGAGCGTCGATGGTGTACGTACACCCCAGAGAAACCCCCAAGAACGCATTATTCTAATCCATTTTATTTTAATTCAGATGTTGTTGATTAAAACTTCTTCAATTGCCGTGTTATTCACTTAAAAACCAGCAGCAGCATCGACGTCAGCTGGGTCCTGCAGGTAGAGCCTTCGATCTTGTGATTGAGAGGCAATAAATGCAAATAAATATATTTCACTAATTAAATGAAGTAAATAAAATATATTTAAATCTTTTTTAAGCAACAAAGTTATACATTTATTTATGTAGCCCCTCAGCCACGGAAGCGATGGCGGGGCTCTGATCTTCACAATGGAGTGTACGTACAGCTCTGTTGTTGAAATAATTAAAATAATTATTAAAGTAATAATAATAATAATATTTTTGTTTTCTAAATATTGAAATATATTATTTGAACTAATCCACAAAAATGCCGGCGCTGCCTACGCACAAATTTTACCTAACCGTCGTCAGCATCGTATTGCTTGCTTTTCAGGTGTACGTACACCTAAACCGTAAACCCTGAACCCTAAATACTAAACTATGGATCCTAAACCCTAAACCCTAAACCCTAAACCGTAAAGTTTAAACCCTATAACACTAAGCACTAAAGTGGTGTTGACCAAAGGAGAATCTGAGATCCTTCAACTTAAAAGTAAATATTAGCATATTGTATATTTGTTTGATTTGTAAATAAATTCGTGCTCTCTTAGTTTATTTTGCATTGTTATTAGCTGCATATAATCTTCGTGCGTCTTGCTTTGTTGGCAGTTTGTATATCTTCTCAATGGATTTCGTTATTATTACGATTACTATTATTATTATTATTATTATTTATGTGTTTATTAGTTAATGAATTGTACATAACTCGCGGTTGCAAGGCTTGTGACTGCTTAAAACATAAGGTTACTCTCGTTATTTTAATAAATAATAATAATAATAATAATAATAATAATAATAATAATGACAATAATAACAATAACGTACATCTACGACGCATACAATCGCTTTATTAATAAATAGATTTCTTTTACGGCCGTCTTTTGTTTCCTCCGCTCTTTGAATTCAAGGGAAAATGCAAAAAAAAGGAATCGTCGGAGCAGAAGTAGTTAAACAAAATCAAATGAAATAAAATATATTAAAAAATACTAAGTAGATTGAATAGAATACAGCGCATTAACAATAAAATAAAAATAAAGTAATAACATGCAGAAAGGTTTAAATCATCTGGAAGCAGAGGCAGAGTTGTTTGATTTAAAGTGTATGTAAACGCATTTCTTTTTATTCAAATGCGTTGTGACGTCTTTGCTGTTTTCTGTTTGAATTAGCAGAGCGCACAGCGACCTGTTTCTTCATATTTTATCCTTCTTGTTGTTATTTTTGCCTATAAATGCAAAAGCAAATAGTCTGAGCTACACTGTCATCCACTTATCTTTTGTAAATCAAAAGAGAAGAGAGGAAGAAGTGAATAAATAAAGAAAAAAGAGTTGTAGAATGTACAGCCCCCAATCGTGTGTTCACCAAATGAAGGAGTTTCCTGAACGTCATTGCTGCATCTCATCACTCCTTCAGCTTCGATATACACTTAAACAAAGGGAAGTTAAACCTTTTTAATCACAACTAGTTAAAGCTAGCTGCAGCTAGCTGATGCTAGCCACGGCCTGATAGAGCTACCTGGTTTGCCGGTTGCAGCTTATGAACTATGCAGCTGTTTGTTTTCGGTGTGCAGCATGCCGCTGAGTATCAGTTAAACTTCGTGAATGCTGCAATAAAACGATGCATTTTAACTGCAAGAGTTCTGCACTTACACTCTCTTCCCGCATGCAGCCGGAAATAGAGAAGCCTGAGTGTTGGTGTACTAACATGACTTCAAATCACTGACTCGTTCAAGTCTTGAGGCATCATGCGCTCATCAGCGTTTAATTTAAGCGGTGCATATACGCCTCACGCTGCCACGTGTTCTATCTGGCAGCCTTCGGTGTGAAGAACATCTCCGGGGGAGTGTTGAAAATCTACACGTCTAATGGCTCCCTCTGAGTGTAGCAATATATTCTTTACTGTAATTCATTAATAAGAAGTGATGGAAAAAGAAAGCAGCAAATGGCGCTGTACCGGTGTTGAGGTGTAGTACAGCCGGCAGCAGAGCAATCGAAATATCGTTGCTTGGGGTAACACCCTGCAATTTAAGGTTTATTATGATCTTTAAAATGCTTCTATTTATCACTTAATATCCTTTGAATTCAAAGGGGTTTCATCCATACCTGAGGATCGAGGCAGCGGTTTCGTTGAGGCAAACGGTGTACGTACAGTGCACGGGCGCAGATGCTGTGCAAGCATGGACTGGCGGCGGCTTTTACAAACTTTGTGAATTTCTTCTCCTTATTTCCATTTCCCCTTTTATTTTATGCAAACCTCCCCTCATTCATTCAAAAATAACTCAGCTTTCCGCCTTCGATTCCCTGCAAAGTGCGGTGGCTGGCGTAGACATTGAATCATCTCGAGCGGTTGGGGGAAATGAGGCGTTTCGCGCAAAAATCTTCTGTTTCTTTATTTGAAATTGTTTAAAGATCTTAAATTGAGTTCTTTATTTACTTTCGAAACAGCAAAGGCAGCAACTCTTCCCCCGGTGTGGGCTGTGCATACACCGCATCGACGGACGGCTGGCAGCCGTTGTTTCCCTCATTTCAGGTCTACAGGCTCTTTTTGAATGCATTTTCCCCTCTTTTCCTTTTATTCCTCTGCTTTATATCAGTCTTCCAGTGGCTTCCCGGCCGCGGCAGCGGCCACCTCTCCCTACTTCATCTGCCTCTCAACCCAAGACGAAAACGTGCTTTCGTCAATGACACACTACATTAAATAATCTCCTCATGCCGCATGCATCAGCCCAGCAACATCAGCAGTTTGCGCGGCATCAGCTGAGCAGTCTCTTCATTTGAATTCTATCTTTCCCTTGCATGCATTAGTAGACCCCCATGCAAATTCCTTACTCCCCGCCGAGTGCCCTCATGACAGCGGACGACGAGGTGTGTGATTTCGACCCCTCCGACCCGTCTCCACATCAGCTGCAGCAGCAGCAGCAGCAATTGCGCGGGCACGCAGAGCCCGACAGCTCTGCCTCAGAAGAAGTAAACATGCTTCATCCGCCGTACACCGAAGACGCTGCAGGAGATAGCAGCAGAGATGACATAGGGTGGGCGTTTACTGATGAGTGGATGCCTCACGCTGCAGACATGGGAGACGAAGTCCAGCAGGAACAGCAGCAACAGCAGCAGCCGCAGCTGCACGAGCAGCCGCAGCAGCAGCAGGAGCAGCAGCAGCAGCATTTCTGGGAGAAGCCGCCTAAGGAGTCAGCAGCAACATGGAAGGCCAGTGCAGCAGCGCGCTTTGTCTTAAGGATGCAGGCATTTGTCTCTCGCATCATATCGAGCAACTCAAATTCTTTGTTAGATATCAACAGCAAATCGAAACAAAAAGAAAGTAAAGTCGCTCAAGAGAAACAGCACGAGGTTATGATGGCTTTTCATCAAAGAGAACATACATCAGAGTTGCTGCAGTATCATTTCACAAGTAAGAAATGCCTTTACTTCTCTCTCCTCTGTGCATGCATGCCTCGCCCCCTGTGTTGTGTTGGGGTGTACGTACACCTGAGGAAGCTCGCTTATAAAACGTAGCCAAAGCGCCGGGTCAGTTTGCTGTGCTTGGGTTTTTTTGGGGTTTGTTTTGCTGCTTCTTCCCCTGTATAGGGAGGCTAATGCTTTTCATTCATGTTTAAAATAAATGAATGAATGATATTTCGTTTTATTGTTGTATTTATTTTGTTTTTTATGACAGTGTTTATTTCGTTGTTTTGTAATCAAGATTGATTTCATCGTTTTGTTTTTATATTCACTTCAGCATTGTTTTGTATTTAACTATATATATATATATATATATATTTATTTATTTATTTAAATGTGTTTATTTGTTGCTTGGGTTTGAGTGTATCTAATTTTAATGTGCATATATTTATTTGCTGCATTTATTTGTTTATATTTCTCTTCGTTTTTTCTTCTTTTTCTTTTTCAGTTTTGCTGCTGGCAGTTGCTGTCGCCCTCGGCACTCAAAATGCGTTGGCCCCAAATTTATCGCGCATTGCGGAGACATTTCATTTTAGTGAAGCAGAAAGAGACATTCGAGTGGGAGGCGAGCTTGCGTAAGCAAAGCAGATGCATTTCCTTGCATTTCCTTCGGCCAATGAGGCTGCTGTCTGCTTCTGATGTTGCTGTTGCTGTTGCTGCTGTTGCTGCTCTTGTTGCTGCTGCTGCTGCTGCTGCTGTTGCTGCTGCTGTTGCTGTAGCTGTTGCTGTGGCGTCTGCGGGTGTGATGGGTATACGCTGCATGCATGCATGCATGCATGCATGGATTGTGTGGGTTTGTTTATGTGTTTGCATTCATATTAGTCTTGTTTATTAATGTGTTGTTCTAATGCTTTGTTTTGTTTGCTTCTGCTTGTTCAGGTTTTTGTATTACACCCCGGGGTGTATCGGGTCGATTGCCGTGGGGCTTTGCACGGGGTTGTTAGATAAAAATAAACTCGTGTCGGCTGTTCTTCTTTTAGCAGGGCTCGCCTCTCTTTGTACTTTCTTCGTTACTGGTGAGGCCCTCTAAGGACATTTGCTGCTGGGCGTCTGCTGCATGCATGCATGCATGCAAGCAGGCAGGCATTTAATCCTGCATGCAAAGATGCATGCAAAAATGCATGCAAGAATGCACGCACGAGTGCATGCATGAGCGCGTGCATTGAATTTGATTCCGTTTTTTTCTTGTATAATATGTACGGCGTTGATAGTGTTTTAATTTGTACCGGCATATACATATATATATATATATATATGTAGATTTCTTTTCTTGTTTTGTTGTGTACAGCGTACTGGCAGCTCGCCTTACTTCGTCTGGCTGCGGGGCTGGCTAGCGGTGGCGTTCATCCGTTAGCATATTCGTGGATAGGCGATTGGTTTACGCCTTCTTTGAGGTCTTGTGCTTCTGCTTTAGTGCTTGGGGCTGCTGGTTTCGGGGCTTTCTGCGGGCAGTGTTTAGCAGCATTATTAGGAGCTATAGACTGGCGATGGGTATTTCTTATTCTTGCTGCTCCTCTACTCTTTATGGCGCAGTTTTATTACATTGCTAACGGCAGCCTCACCCAGCAGCAGTACCAGCAGCACCAGCAGCACCAGCAGCACCAGCAGCAGCATCATCACGCTTATATGCATGCAAATCATTGCAATAACAGCAGCAGACATCTCGCAGGAGAAGATAATTCTCATAGCAGAGGCCTCAACTTCAGCAGCCTCAAGGCTATGGCCCGCTCCAAGACAAATTTGCTTATGCTTGTTCAGGTGAAGAACAATAAAAGAAATGCACAATAATAATGCAGAAATAAAGATAAAAGAAACGCAATACGAATGCAGCAAGAAAGTTAAAAGAAATACAATAATAATGCAGCGAGACAGATAAAAGAAATACACAATAATAATGCAGAAATAAAGATAAAAGATGTACACAAATAATGCAGAAATAAAGATATTGAGGCTGATGTAAGGGCTGGGGGAGCAATAAATCGATATATTAACCTGTTGACGACTCCCAGCTGAATATAAAACATTTTTTTTAATTTATTTATTTATTTATTTATTTATTTATTTCCAAAGATTCATTTAAAGACAGCATCATGAAGGCAGAGTTTGTATTTTCTTAGAACATACTTCTGCAGCGTGAAGAGAGCCTTGCGGAAGCACCATCGGCATCTCTATTTTTTGTTTATTTATTTTTTTATTTTCTCTTCTGTCTTTGTTGTTGTTTAGGCATTCCCAGGGAATGTTCCTTGGGGTGTATTGGTTGTTTATCTCCACGACTTCTTGCAAACAGACGTCGGCCTCTCTGATAGCATTGCTATTGCAGCTGTAAGCACAGCTTTTTACTTTTAATATTAAACAGTACCATGAAGAATTAAAAACAAACAGAGAAATTGTTCTTAAAGAGGGCAGGGAAAGTCATGCAGAAAGAATAAATAAGCCTGAAAGCTGCTCAACAATGCACGCAAGCAGAATACAAGATTATATATATATATATATATATATATATAAGCATATGTATATATATTATATGAATAGATATATACGAATACGTATGTATGTATTGTTGCGTGTATACTATATGTATTCGTATATATATACATATATATACGAATAGGAGTATATATATGATTGCATGTACAATATATGTATTCGTGTATATATATATATATATATATATACAGCATATACATATTTATGTATGTATATATAGGCTTGGAATATATGCTGAGGGAAGCCTACGCCTTATTCCTTTGCCTATTTGCATTACAAGCAGAATATATTTGTTGCAGTTGTGTTCCTTGTGTATGTCTGTGAGTTGTGGGGGAGTGAAGCCTTTGTTGTTTTTGGTGTATTGATATCTTTGTCTGTTTGCGGGTTGTCTTATAATGTATTATGCTGTGCTGCTGCTGCTGCTGCTGTTGCTGCGGTGTATAAATAAACAGATTGTTGCAGTTGCTGCTGCTTCTTTCTGCGGCATGATTGTTGGGGGTATAATTGGAGGTCAGCTGTATGCACACAGCGGCCGTCGTCTTCTTCGTTTCTGCGCATTCACTTGCATCCTGAGGTAATCATTATCATTTATTTCTTCTCTCTTCTTTCCCTGTTTTGCTGCTTGTATTGGCTGTAGGGTATACATACACCCTGGCTTGTATTGTTGTTGTTGTTGCATGCAGTACCTCTAGCGGCTCTTTGCTGCTATCAGTTCATCTTCCCCTTTGTATTATTTACAGAATTTATTGATATTTATCTTGTTTGCTCTCTATGACTACTATTACTATCACTACCTTCTTTCCTGTGCTTACTAGGTTTTTGTTTATTTGCATGCAGACGAATTAAACCGCACTCCTTTTAAATATGCTCTTCTGCCTTATTACCTCTCTTTATTATTATTGTATTGTATATCTGCATGCATTCTTTATTGTATCTTGTTTTCTTCGCAGATGCTTTATTTAATGTTTACCTGTTTTTCTTTTTTTTTTGTTCATCGGTGGTTGCACATATGCATATAAAAAGAAGCAATATAAACGACGATACGCTTAAGCATCTGTTGAATTGTTTGTTTATTTTATTTCTGTTTGTATATCTTTGTTTGTTTTTGTCTGTTTTTGTTTGTTTTCTTGCAGATGTATTCCTTGTGTAATGATCTTTGCCTTCCCAGCAATAGTAGGGAGGGCTCCTCAGGGCGCCGCGTTATTAGGATTGTTGGCTTTGTTGCTGGGTGCTGCATTTGTTTCAACATTATCAACAGCAAATGTTGGTGCTGTCTTACTCAACGTAAATACAGCGGAGGTATGCTTCCTTTGCTTGTTTGTTTGTTTGCTTGCTTGCTTGTTGTTATTTATTTTCATATTTGCAGGCATTCTGTAACTGTTTTTATGCTTTTCTTTTTATTTTGTTGCTTATGTTTATTCGCTACTTGCTTTTTCTCTCCAATAAAATTGCACATGAGAAACAACTAATTAAACAAAGACCCACATAAACAACAAATATATATATATATATATATATGTACACATATATATATATATATATATTAATAAATATATATGTATATATATATATATATGGTAGATAAGGAAGGGAAGTGCCGTTTGGGGTGTACAGGCAGACCCTGTCGTCCCTCCTTTTTTTGCTGTAGATAATCTGTCGCTTTTGTTTCTTTTTTGTGAGTTTCTGCACAGGTTAGAGGCACTATTTGTGCTATTTACACTGTGCTAGACGATATATCAAAAGCACTAGGGACTGTTTTGGCGTCAGTCTTAGCAGCTTTTGTAGGCTCTAGGGCGCTGGCCTTCCAGCTGTCTATGAGGTACGTACACCCCAGCATGCAGCAGACATTAACAAGAAACAACAGCAATTCAATGCGCTCAAAACTGTATACGAATACATACCCTAGTAAAGATACGACATCATTAGTTAGTGCAGTGCTAAGCATGTTTGCTTTAACAGGCTGCCAGCTGGTGTACGGCATTTAGAGTTTTTTTGTATCTGTTCTGTTTGTATTTATTCCATTTGCATGTATTGTATTTTCATTTGTTTTATTTATATGCGGTGTACATATATTTATTGTATTCGTACTTCTTCTGTTGTTTATATTTGTCGTTTGCTATTGTTTTATTTGTATATTCTGCATTTATCTTTTGTTTTACTTATATTGTTTGTTTTTATGTTTGTTTTGTTTGTTTTTATTGTGCTGCACGCTCAATGGATATGCAGACAGAGATGCTTGGTGGGGTGTCTCTAAGGTCTTCCTACTTTTGCATGCAAGATGTGTTGCGTGTTGTATGTGTGATAATATATATATATATATATATATATATATATATATATGCATATACATATATATATATATATTTGTTGCATGCAGCACTATCAGTTAGCTGCTCCAGAGCGCTGCATGTGATTTGCTGACTGCATGCAGTTTGTTGTTTGAATGTGTTGTGCATATTTTGCTGCAGTTTGTGGCTGCTAAGCGCTGTGGCTTTATTTGCTGCTTCCACTACATACGCAGCAGATGAAGCACGTGCAGTAGCAGCAGAGAGAAAGAGAGAGAGCTCAGGCTTCTGCTGTCTTTCAGACGAAGGGGCCCACGACCGCACGCCCCTTATCTTGCAGCAGCAGCAGCAGCAGCATCTTGCGCTGCACCAGGAGACGCTAGCTGGGGGGAAGTGCAGCTGCTGCTGCAGCCCTCGGGAGACAACACTAATGCACAGCAACAGCCTCAACAGCTGCAGCAGCACCAGCTGCAACAGCAATGATAGCTGCTGCTGCGAGCAGCAAACGCACAGTGCGCTGCAGCAAACGACGTGGGGGTCCCACACCTTCTCATCTTCAGATAGCAACAGCAATCTATGGGCGCAGATTCAGGAGGATGGAGGCTATTCAAGGCATTTAAGCAGGCTGTAGTTGGGGTGTATGCAGTAAATGAAGATAAATATAAAATAATGCAAACACCAACAACAACAAACAGCCCTACGATTGCAGGGAAAGACAGCAGCACTCCGGGCAGCAATGCTGCAAGCAAACACTTCTGGGAATTTAAACAGCATATTACACGCAGCTAAGTATTTAGCCTGCTGCTGTGTGGCAGCAAGTGCTGCTGCTGCTGTGCAGAAGCAACTGCTGCTGCTGCTGTGCATTGCATGGGGGCCTGTGAGTGCTTCCGTTTGCAAGCCGCAAACAGCTTCCTCCTTGTGCTGCAGCTGGTTGATTTATATCGCTGCGAAGTTTGACAGGGATGAAGACGCAGCAGGTGCAGCAGCAGCAGCAGCAAGAACAGCAGCAGCAGCAGCAGCAGCAGAAGAGCATACGGGGAATTATATTTATATTGGGGGTACCTCGTCTTTCGCAAGGGCAGCTGGAGGTACTTGCATGGTTTCTTTGAATGCTTGATTTGAATGATGGGTGGCTGTTTGTGGCAGCGCTGTTTGTTTGTGGGGCCCCACACTGCTGTGGGGTCCCACAGAGCACGGCTCATTCGCAGTGGGATCGTCTCCAGCTCCGCTGCAGCTCAGGACCCTTTTACAGCGTAAAGACACCTCATGTGGGGCCCCCAAAACAACGGCTTCGACTGTCTCTGCTGCTGCTGCCCGGTGCATTTGAATGTTTGTGTTGTGTTGTTGTGTTGTATGTTTGTCTGTTGGCACGCGAGTTGCTTGTTGCTTCTATTTTTCTGTCTCCTTCGCTTGCTGTATGGCTAGAGGAGGAGCAGAAGGGAAGGGGAGATTAGAAGTTTATATCTCCCTTCTTAGCTAACGATATCCTCTTTGCGTGCATTCTTCTGCCTATGTATTTTTTTTGAACATACTGATGAATACATAAGATATACATACATATTATATATGTTATGAATATAGTCAGGTAGGTAAGGCGACTGTTACAGCTGCATTTCCTCTGGTGTAGCTGCAAACAAAGATTAGGAAGTTAAGCAGGGCACTCCCAGGCCAAACGACTAATGAGGGGATGCATGCATGCATTTAGGAGAGCCGCTAGAGGCAAGAGGAGTGACATAGGTGGAGGCAGCAAAAGAAACAGAGAGATAATATAGGCAAGCAGATGGCGAAGATATACAACAAAAAGACAAGTCCATTGATACCGTTAGTTTGAGTGTTGTCCTGTTGGTTCCGTTCTTGCTTCAGGAATCAGATGTACTAAACATGTTTTTTTTTGTTTAGCAAACAAATTCTTAGTAAGCGGAACGTTAGCACTGAAGAGGCCTGTTTGAACGGCTAGCGAACGTAGCCGGAGGGCAGGGTAAATGATATTGGCTTGTGTGTAATAAATACAAAAGCAGACAAAGTATGTGGAGGTAATATGTGCAATTGTAGTAATACTTTTAATGATTAAAAAGGATTATTTTGCTGCAAGTCAATAGCATTTGTAGAAAAAAAGAAAACAGCAGCTGGTCGCAGCTACGGCGCCGGTGGCTGCTGCACGACGCCTCAACAAACCCCCGTCGGCAGTCGAGCAGGAGGGCCTCAAAAGAAAGGCATTCTCCTCTTGATAATATCTGTTAAATCCTTAAAATACTGTGTGTAGTTTCCACGCTTTTTGCCGTGTCTGGACAGCCAGGCGCATGCGTTCAAGCCGTGTTCACCGTGGCTGCCATGAGTCTCATTCTGCACAACAGCAGTCTTGTTCGTTCTTAAGAGTGCAAATTAGCGTCATTTGGGGCTTGTTTTGTCTCGAGGTTTCTTTACAACTACTTTCCTGTAGGAGTTTCTAAAAGAAAAAGCATGCAAGTATACTCGGCGGCACCGCCGGGCAGTTTTGCAGCTGGGACCAGACATGCAGCAGCAGCAACACTAGCAGCAGCAACGCCATTCCTCTTCGTATTCTCCTAAGGAGGTTCTTTTTGGAGGGCGTCTGCTTGCCGCGGCTCCTCGGCCCCTGCTGATGGGACCAATGCAGCGCGCCAAGCAACAACAGCGCATTGGGGAGGAAGATAAATTGCAGCAACAGCAACAGCAACACCAACAGCAGCAACAGCAGCAGCGGCGGCGCAAATCCTCTACGGCAAATTCGGGGGCCTGCAATGGTATATCAACCAAATCAACATCAGATGGCGACAGCTCAAAGGACGCATTTCATTCTCTTTGGAACACCTCTTCAGGGCGGCCGCCGGATGACTATGCCAATTCAGTTTATTGCAAGCATGCGGAGGAGTTCCCAGAGAAGTTTAGGGCTTCGATTGATTACAGCATTCAGGAGAAGCCCCAGCAGGTCTTGTCGAGTGCTGTGGTGCTAGCGTTGGTTGTCTTAGTCGCTTGCGGGCCGGGATGCCTATGGAAAACGGACAAAGACTATCGTTTTTTTGAATTTCACTTTGATGACTTGAGTGCAGAGCGACAACAAGAGCTCAGGTTTCGCGCTGTTCAGGTTATATGCTGTCTGGCGGTGGCGATCATGGGATATTGTTTCCTTGAAAGCAGAGACGGGTTATTAGTTCGGCCGCACCCGGGCTTCTGGAGAGTGATTCACGGTTTGTGTTTGACTTATTTTCTTTGTTTAGTGGCGCTTCTGTCTGTACATCGCGACGACGGGCGTTTTCTGGTGCGCATGCTGCTGCCTGGTTTTGGTTCGAGGAGGGGAAATGTGTTTTCTGGAACTCTTGTGCTCGACTGTTCAGTGAACATGAATACGCTGATGAGACAGTTCACATCTGTTTGGTTTATAAGTCACGCTGTTGGTTGGTTTCTGAAGATGTGCATATTTCGTAGCTGGATGTTTAATTTGACGTTCTCTATATTGTTTGAATTCTGTGAGATGTCGCTGCAGTGGCTCATTCCCGAGTTTCAGGAGTGCTGGTGGGACAGTATATTCATTGATGCAATTGTTTCTAACCTCATGGGGATGGTGTTTGGTTGTGCAGTGATGCGTTGGTGTGGCAAGCGCCATTTTGACTGGCTGGGTGCATATCCACGCTATCAGAAGATTATGTTGAGGTTTACCCCTTTCTCAAGTTGTGAATATGAATGGTCGTTCTTCCGCACTCCCCGTCATTTGCTGATGACAAGTCTGCTTTTATTTCTTTCTCTCCTTGCAGAAGTCAGCGTTTTTCTCCTCATGACCGTCCTAGATATTCCAGCAGTTCATTGGATTAATCCTGCACGCCTTGGCCTCTTGGGGCTGCTGGCGTTTCCTGCAGTCGCCGAGTTCTATGCGCAGCTGCAGTTTAGATATGATAGAATGGGGGGGAATGTTTTTTTATTTGTCATGATCTTAACCGTGGAGTTGTTGGTGAGCATTAAATACGGTACCGACAGATTCTTCTCTTCTGCTCCTCAACACGACGTCGTTATTCCCTGGGTTCTGGCGGGGATCTTCTTCGGGCTCTGGTGCTGCTGCTACTTCGCGCATGCAACGCAAGAAAGACGCAGCAGAGCAGAAACAAATGCAGGAGCTGCAACACGCAAACACCTGACAGGCAGCAGCAGCATCAAGGATACAGCTGCCGCAGTGCTGCTGAAGTTGCCGCCGCAGGCTTGCTTCCTGCCGTTGCTTTACCTTGCTAAACACTACTACTACGGCGGATCATAAGGGAGAAAACAAAAAGCGCGGAAAGGAAGCTAGTCAACTATAGACCTGCACCTCAAGCTCATACTCAAGTGCAATTACTAACGAACACACATTTCGAGTTTTGTTCTGCTGCGACCAGCAGAGAAATCAGGAAACTGCTTGTCATGGAAAACTCACTCACCGCTCACTCACTGCCCCTGTATATTTCATGTATAATATATATATATATATATATATATATATACATATATATATATATATATGTTGTATGAGCACAGCTGTAATACTGCCTCTCTATCACTATTTGTACATTGTATATGTTGTACAGCTGCGTCGTGATGCTCCTAGGGGCGTATCGACTCAGGCGCTGTGATTTTTAGCTGCTTTTGCCTTTGCTGCGAAGAAGGGAAAAACAACTTCCAATGCAAAGGGGAAATTGGAGGATAGGTGGACGACGGACGTACACATCGCAACTCCGTCGTTACAAACCTCCGAAACACTGCAGACAGACGAACATCCTACTTTTTCTTTGCTCTTTGGGGTATTCATTGACATAGCCTAGCGGCCACCAGTGCAGCAAGCAAATGGCTAGTTGCCATGTAAGGTATGATTTTTTGAGTGCTTTCCTTCATGCATTAGAATGAAGTGGAAACAACAACACAAAAAGAATACACAGTAAAGGAGAAGCATTTTTCTTTTAGCCGTTGCCAGTGAAGTGCCTTTTTTTAGAGGCAGATACGCCCGACGAGTCTTTCTTCGTTTATTCCTACACCAGTTTACTAAGCCTCTTTTTCTGTCTCTCGGTCATCGTCTTACGCTGCACAACGAATCCATCTGGAACAACTTTCTCTGAGACTCAGCGTCTTCAGATGGCAGAGCTAAAGGTGGTTGCTTCGTTTTTTTTGCAGCTGCTGCTCACCCGATGGCGTGGCTTCATTTGTTGTCGCAGAGAGGAGATTCACAAATTAGCTGGGTGTTCAAATGGCGATTTCAACGAGCACTCAAATGCTAATGGGGCCTCCGCCTAGAATATGCGCTGAAAGTAACGGTGACAGATGTTTGTAAGAACTAGGGTTACTTAAAACCCTCACCCAAGTCACGGTGTCCTTTTGAATTTTCAACTTGTAACGGCTGCGCATGATTAAGTTATAACCGAAGTGCTGGTGCATAGAACAGTCTTCATGGCAAGCTTCCAGTAGGCTAAGAGTTCACTCCTGAGGATAAGAGCACTGAGAAAGCAATATTCTGTTCATTGTGTGCAGCTGCAGGTGCTGAACAAGGCCGGCTCGTGATTGTTGTGTGCAGCTGCCACCAAGCGATGGCAAAGCAACTTCCACTGTGCAACTAAATCCATACAATGCAGCCCACAAGCTGTCAGCTTTCACCAAACAAAGCTATTTAAACTGGTTTTGCCACGCTGCACTTTAACTTCGCACGCCATTTACTGTTCTGTGTGATTCCAAAACCGTGCAGCCAGCAGCGGTGGTGACGTTTTGTGTTCTCTGCTTTGCAGAATATCTGCTTCCAAAGAAATGGATAAATCCAGTGGATGCTTGAATGTGCAAAAAACAATTTTTTTAATCGTTACAGCTGCTTCTTTTTTTCGATGGCTATGCGAGTATACAAATATATTATATATATATATATATATATATATA